GCAGAGACTTGTGCCTGGGAACTGCTAGTCAGTCTGAGAAGATTCTGTAAACAGGTGCTGGCAAATAAACCTTGCTGACTGAACCTGCATGGTCTCCAGGAGTTCTTTGGGCTAGGCCTGACATCACCAGGAAAATGCCTCGGGTTCTAGGAGTCCATCCCAGCCAAACAGGAAGACTAACATGAACAGCAGAAGGCTCAAGAGAAATAAGTTTGGTGTTCAAAGCTTACTGCACCTCCACAAGTACTTGAGTGGGGCTACTACAGCAGGGCTGCAAAAATCCAGACAACCGCTAGATAATAGCAAAGAGCAGGGCTGGCTTTAGGCTAAAGTTGAGTAGGCACTGGCCTAGGGCACCAAAGCCAGTCTGGTCTAGTGGTATGTTTGCCCCCTTCAATTATTTATAAAAATAATAAAGGTTGGATTTTAAAAAAAGTCTAAAAAAAAAGCCAATGCCACCCCTCCTTTCGAATCATTCTAAAAATGCAGTCTTCTCATTGGCAGGTGATGGCGCCATCAGTCAATGTGGTCTACGGGTACTGTATCATATACCTGTGAGCTGGCACTGGCAGAGATAAAGAAAGCTCTAGCTGTCTGGTGCCATCATTTGGTCATCTGGATTTTTCCAACCCAGATATGGCAGTCCTGAGTATGTGAGATAAAGTAGGCAGAACAAGAACTAAGATTCATGGAAACTGTATTGAGTAATCAGGTTCTCTAGACAGTGTTTTCATTCATTTTCCAAGTTGGTGTGTGTGTGTGTGCGCGCACACCCTTCCTGGTGGAATAGGAGATGCAAATGAGGACCTACTCTGTTTTCCATCTTTTAACTGATAGAGGGTCTAATGATTATTAGGTACCTAGTAACTTGGTTTGATTTGAAAATTATTTTGCATACAATGTAAAAGCCCAATAGGAAATAGGAAGTGTTCCAGTTACTGAAAGCTGCTTTATTACAAAGAAGCTTTCCAGATATTAACTTCTAAACTTTTTTAAAAAATATTTGTACTCTTTGCCTGGGTCTCTTGGGAAATTGAGGTGTGAATTAATATCAATAAGTATATAAATTTACATGAAATAATGTGTCTCATATTTTACTTTTGGAGCTCTGAACACACTATCCCAGGTAGGTTTAAGCATGCAGCCTAATTTAGCTCCTGGTTGGAGAACAAAGACTGCAGCTTTTTCACCACATAAGACTTTGGAAAGGTTGCTAGCACAAAAGCTAGCGAGAAGCAGCTTTTGAGAAGCAGGTTTCAGGAAGAATCGGAGGCCTTTCTCATTTGCACATAATGGCATAAACAATTCCATGGTAACATTTTTTTTCAACTATGTTCTCATGACATTGTCTTCATGTTGGCCCTGGTCCACTACTGAGACAGGTTTAAGTCATCCTTAGCTGAAGCAATGTCAAAGTGATATGTTCCCTTGTATTTTGACACTGATCAAGTGCAGCCTCAGGATGTATAGAAGGGACTGGCAATGGAGATGGCAAATTTCATGCTGGTAACTCCAACTCAAGGATGAGAGGAAAGCTTTGTAACTCAGCAGTGGAGAAAGGGCTTATGGGTGCAACTATCAGGCTCATATCAATTACCATTTTATCACACAATTTATTACATATTTTTATCTGATGCTGATAAAATAACCTTTAGAATTATTGGTCATCTATATGGAATCAATGTTTTGAGCAAAACCGGTGTGAGAAAGCTATGAATCCCTCTGGAAAGACCTATATAAGCAGAAAGATTTAAAATTACAGGCCCTGTATTTCAGTCTCTGTCCCAAAGTATGCTCAAAGTTTTATTTTCTAAAAGTTCTTACATTTCTTATAGCACAATCCTATGCCTACTCAGTGAGGTCAGTGAGACCTTAGTTCCAGGTATATTTCAGATTGCAGCCTAAGCAAAAACACTTTATAACATTATCCAATATTAACGGACAATAATAATGACATTCCATATATTTTATCAAAACGAGAGATTGTTTTCCCTGGCTGTTTCTAGCCTTGAAGTTTACTCCTTAAGCACAACTTGCTCCTTCAAGTGGAGAATCTGCCAGTCAATTATCATACTCCGCTTTGCCTCGGAAAACAGATGCTACAACACATTTTTTCAGGTACCACACGCTTTTGAGAAGTCGCGGTTACTGTCACTATTAACCTCCTTAATCGAGCTCGGAAAAGCTGAAAAGAAAAAACGCTTAGCAGCACGCTGCGGCTTGGGGGTGGGGAAAGCGTATCTCCCCCGCCCCGCACATGCTTCTTCCCCTGCTAGTTCGGGCTTTACCTGCAGCTTCCGCTCCCTTCCAAGATTCTTCACCTACAGGAGAGAGAGCGCAGAAGCGTCTATCAGTAGCTGACTAGGAAGTGGGAGAAGCAGCACGGTCCGAGAGGGAAACGGCGGGCCGGTCGCAGGGCCACGGGAGCGCCGCACATTCAGGCGTGCCAGAGCCCTCCAACTCGCCGCGGCTTGGCCGACCTCCTCGCCCCCAATGGCTTCTGCCGCGGACGCTCTGCCTGAAGGGAAAATCCGCCACTGGCGCGCGCCCCGGCGGGGGGCCAGGAGAGCGCAGGGCGGGGGGACTTTGCGGACGGGGACCGCGGGGACCGGAAGGTAGGCTGGGCAGAGCAAGGGAGGCGGACCCTGGAGTGGCCTTTGCCTCGCCCGGGGCGGGGGGCGGGCGCATGCCCTGGGTGGACGGTGATCCTCCCACAGGCTGCGCGGGGCCGCTCTTCGTTGGCGGGAGACTGCCGTCGGACTGGCGAGCAGTTCTCAGTCTCTCATTGAGGATATTTTTAGTATGAAGTATTATTTGCATTGCTACTAGTATTTTTGGCAACGGCAGCGTTCTTCTTAGATAAAAGTCTTTGTCCCTTGCCTTGTTCGATTTGAAATTCTCTTCCTCGAAATTCTCTTCGGTGAAATGTCCTGACCGAGCCACCCGAATTCGATTTTGAATGAGTCTGAAAGTTCCCCTTCTTCCTTTTCTATGCATTGTATTGAGAGTGACTTTGTGCTTTAAAAAATGCCTTTCTGGAGCGCCTCATACTCTCAGGGTCTGATGAATCATTTACTCAAATGCTAGATAAATTAAGCCCAGCAGCATCCCTCTGAAGTGTAACAACATTGTTACAAAAGGTTGCCTGATGCTGTAATTTTTGTGAATTGCACTTCATATTCTTCAGCAAGAAAACATTTCTACCTGCCCAAGGGGAGTTTTGATTTATAAAAGCTTTAAAATGGAAAAAAAAATACACTTACAATTTGCACTTTTTAAAAAGGAGAAAGTCCAGTACTTAATATAGGATAACTCACCCCCTTTTTAAAGAACTTGGTTGAAAACTGAAATACATAGTAGAAATGAAATGTGAATCAACAGAGCAAAAGTTTGCCCTTCAGTGCAATGCTTTCATCTGCAATCTTAAAACATGTTTCCAATTAAATCTCGTTCACTTGGAATTAAATCACACTCTTTGATACAGGACTTATGGATTCAATGCACATGTATTTATTTATTTATTTGGTAAATTTATATATCCACTTATCTTACATATGTGACTCTGGGCAATGTACAAACTTAAAAACGCAAAAACAATGCAACCCCCCCCCCCCAGAAACATACAAAAAAAATTAAAAAACATTAAAACATTAAAACCTATTACATCTATTAAAAACATACAAACGTAATTTGTGGGAAAGCACTGCTACCAGATCCCCAGGCCAAATCACAAAGCCATGTTTTCAGGCCCTTCTGGAAGGCTAGCAAGGTCAGGGCCAATCTGATCTCGAGGGGAATGTGGCAGAACAGGCTCCCCTCCTGGGTCCCATCAGATGACATTCTTTCATGGATGGGACCGGCAACATGCCCTCTCTGCTGGACCGGATGGGACAGATGCATGTGACTGGGGAGAGGCCATCCCTCAAATAGTCCAGCCACATGCCATGTAGGGCTTTGTAGGTCATTACCAGCACCTTGAACTGAACCTGGAAGCAAACTGGTAACTAATGCTGCTCATGGAGCAGAGCTGTAATACCCTGATTTAAGTGCACACATAACTGCTAGCACTGCCACATTTTGCAACAGCTGAAGCTTCTGGATTCTCTTCAAGGGCAGCCCCAGGTACAGCATGTTACAGTAATCCATGCGGGGCGACCAGGACATGACTGACTCGGCATAGGGCCTCATTCCGGTTCAGGAATGAGCACAACTGGCACATAACCAGAAGTTGTGCAAAGGCCCTCCTAACCATGACTGTCACCTGCTCATCAATCAGGATCATGAGTCCAGAAGGACCACCAGATTGTGCACTCAGTCTATCTGGGACAGTGCCACCCCATCCAGAACTAAAGATGGTTACTTCTCAGATTCTGGTGGCCCCAAACCCCTAAGCCACTCAGTCTTGCCAGGTTTGAGCTGAAGCCCGTTGTTCTCCATCCATCTCCATCCATGTTAAGCATAATATGGTTAGATTGGCTTTGGCTTAATGTGTTGTATGAATTGCTACTATCGGGGTTATAAATCTTGCTTTATATTTTAGTTTGTTATGTAAAGACAGACATGTGCTTTTTTCAGTAAACCATCCCCAAACAAGCTATTGTTTAGTGTGTTGTGTAAAAAGCCAGTCATAGTGAACTTTTTATAAATTGCAGACAGCTTCTTACTTGAGAAGATTCTAGACAATTTACATATGGAAATATGTGATATGCACAGTTCCTTATACAGTGGTACCTCTACTTACGAACTTAATCCATTCCGTGACTCTGATCGCAAGTCGAGTTGGTCGCAAG